CAGCAGAAGACTAAAATCCTGATGTTGCTTATAGGAATGGGATGGCAAAGGGTTGAGACCTCGCTCGCGCGTGCAGGCGCACGCACACAACAGAGCAGACGCCACCGACTTCATCGTTACCTCGAACAAAGCGGATTCAAGTGGCCTACAGCCCTTCCACCAGGTTGACCAAGATGCAACCTGCATGAGCAGAGCCTGGCCATCCGCAGGGTCCTCTGCAATACAGAGAGCCGCCAAGCTGTGGCAGGCTGGGGCAGAGGCTTGGCAAGTGAGAGGGGGATGAAAAGCGGATTCAAAGCCTGTTCTAAAAGCCAAAAAAGCCTCCTCAGCTTGAGAAGCCCAAACTGTCCTCGGGGAGAGGCTGGGGGGAGAAGCAGCCCAGATTTTCAGAAGCTGCTGGTAATTTCAGGTGTCCAATGTTAGGCACTGTAAGTGGGCTTGTAAAACACGCAGGCACCTGTCCAGGAGAAATCAGATCGCTGTAAAAATTGGGGAGTCCCTGTCTTGTCTCAAAACTCTCCTTTCAGCCCAAAGAAAAGAGAGAAGAAGAAATCTCTAGCCGCTTGAAAATTTAGGCCAACAAATACCACCACAAGTGAAATCTGAACTCTGTATATGAGAAACGAGAAGGAGCGGGGGGAAAAGGATAAAGGAATTAGTTCAAAACAGTTACACCATATTTCCAACGCTACATTTGAACACTATTGAGGTACCAGTGGTTGAGTCATTCCTCTATAACGTGGAGAACACCTGATAATACGTCTCAGTTCACGGCTCATACACACACCCTACAGCACACGCATTGAAAACACCACCCAAGAGGTTCCATGGCACAGGTGGGTCTAGGACAGGCCTGTGACTTACAGTACTACTTCATTCGACCTTAAGTTAATTAAAGTAGTTGCTTAATTGCCAGGGAGTCACTAATTGCAAATGGTCCCTTCCATGCTGTTTTCACTGTACACACGGTATCTCACACACGCACACGCCCCCGCACATCTATAGAGAACATCTTCCAGGACACAGTCATCATCTCATCAACAAATGAGAAAAGTAATTGCATCCCTTCTGCTGCCTTAAAAGCAGATGGGATGGGGAATACCGGGATAGTGTAAAAAATAAAGGGATCTGAAATAATTAAAATATTAGCATTCAAATAAAAAAAGGCAAAAAATTAACACCCAAAAAAGTAACGCCAGGCAATCCTCCTCATGTAGAAGGCTGGACTGTTCTTGTTTAAGAACCAACACCTTTCCATAAACCCAGAATCTGCTTTGCAGAGAGGGGAACAGCAAACAGGCCGATCCGTTCCCAGCCGAACTGTGAACCGGGACCACGGGCAGAGAGCGGGCCGCCGCACAGTCGTTTCGACCTGGGACAGCAATGGCACGGATGCAAACCAGGTCATTCAGCCCGTCTGCCTGGCTGGGGACTCCCCCCAGCAATGCTCAGCTGGGATCTGTGTGAATGAGGTGGGGCCAGCTGAGCACGGAAACACTGGAGGGTTCAGGATGCTGCATCCAGTTTTGTCTCCGAACTTCACCTCCTCCAGGCCCTGTCCCTTAGCTGGGCTTCTTTTGTTTGTGTATCTTAAGGCATCAATTAGACACCATTGAGAACCATACAGTGGCCTCAGAGTCTTTTAACAGTGCACAATAGGCTTGGTAAAGAGTTTGGCTACAGTGACATTCAGAGGAGCGGTTGCACATTCAGCCGTGTCCTTGGGAGGAGTGCTGTCCACCTCTGCCACCCCACAGGACTCCTGGAAACCTCCCAGGTTGGCTGTGCTCGTGTGTGTGGCACCGGCTGGATCACGGGAATCCAAGAAGCAGCAATGGTTTACAAGTTCCCCCTCCCCAAAGAAAATATACGCCCTTTGGGTGAGTGGTGAGATGAGTCTGAACGGAGCAGAGAGCACCCCCTCTCCTCGCCCTCTAGAAGGAGGGTGCTCGTCCAGGAAGCACATTTCTAACTGCTGTGGGTCGTGCTGATCCGATGTGTGCCCCAAGAGCGGGGATGGCTCCGGGGGTTCACAGGAGGGCTGGGGCTGGAGGCAGCAGCCAGTACCTTCGCTTTCCTCCTACAGCGACCGGCTGCCCCGCGGGGTGGGCCATGCTGGCCTAGCACCCTGCCAGGTGCCCCTGTCCCCTTGAGGTAAGGTAGGTCCTGATTTTTTGTCAAAGGCTCGTCGAAGACACCGACAGGGTGGGCGAGGAGGGAGGTGGGAAGTTGAGGAGTTCCAGCACAGCCACCCCGACGCTGCTCCGGCGCGTGAACATGCAGGAGGCTGCTACCCACTTGTTGGTACGGGGGTTGTACTTCTCGATGGAGTTGAGGCTGGAGCTCCCATCGTTGCCACCCACTGCGTACAGCCACCCATCCATGGCCACCAGGTCGTGGGTGCTCCTGGAACAACCATGCAGAGACCACAGGCGTGTGAGGCTCGAACACGGCATACGTGGGGTGCAGGGGAGCTCAGCACCTCGGATGAACTGGCCAGAGCTCTGCCACCCCACAAAAGGGAGTGCCCAGCCTCACAAAGACCCAGTGAAAATGAACTACTGGGGCTCAAACAGTCCGTCAGTGGCAGAGCGCAGCGTAGAGCCTCAGCTCTTCCCCGTCACTGTGATACCCTCCTCCCACTGGAGAAGCACCACCTCTAAATAACAGGCCCTGGGAGCCTAAAATCCTTGGACTTCCAAGCCTTAAATCCTCCCGCAGCCCAGCAACATCTCCTACGTGGCCTCAAGCAGCTACCCCATCTGCTTCTTCGCAGCCACAGCGACTGCGGAGAATAAATCCCTCTGCAGAAAGCGCCTGCTGCAGAACGTCCCTGCTCTGCCCTCCTGGCACGCAGGCACCAGTCCCTCGCAGCAAGGAGCACGGGCTGCCTTTGTGCAGGCAGCACAGAGCCAGCCCACTGCGGCGTTAGCCAAGCCCTGGGGCACGGGCAGCATTTTACGGTTTGCAGTGCCAAGCAAGGCAAGGGTCTGGGTGAGCCGGGATCCCCGCTCCTGCCTGCAGCAGCTGAGGCTCCCCCTGCGGCTCGGGAGTTTGGCAGGGGCAGAGCTCCTTACCTACGGATGTTCATGGGCGCCACGCTCTCCCACGTGTTGGTTTTGGGGTTGTAGCGCTCCACGGAGTTAAGGCAGCTGGTCCCATCGTTGCCGCCAGCCACGTAGAGCATCCCCTCCAGCACGGCCACTCCGGCGCTGCTCCGGCGGCTCAGCATATTGGCAATGGGCGTCCAGGTGTTGACCTGGGAAGAGCCAATGTTTGTTCACGAGCCAGAGGTGCAAGTCATTTGCCACGTACCCCTGCCAAGCCAGCCCCGTGATACTAGTCCTGCTGTAACCACACAGCTCCTGACATAACAGTCCTCCCCCCAAAAGACCCCACTTCATTCAACTCTCCTTCAGGAAGAGCTGCCGGCTCCAGGGCAGACCGCTGCCGACAGGAAAGCACAGCCGCAGCTGGCAGGAGTCCTGCCATCCCAGGGGCCTGAGCACAGAGATCTCTGTGCCAGGCCACCAGCCACGTCACAGCTGAATCCCAGCCCAGTCACAGGGGTTGAGCTGTATCTGTTTCAAATCCGTACAAGTCACAACTGCGGCTTTACAGCTCATCCAAAACCTCCAGGACCTTCTCTTTGATCTTTTTGCTGCGATCTAGCCCGCTCTAACAGAGCTGTGAGACCCCAGGCCCAACACATGTCCCCTGCCTGCCACAATCCCCGCTAACTGCTGCGGACGTGCATGCAGCTAGGACCTCAGCTGGAAGCTGGAACTCAGGGCATGTGCAATAACTGTTCTTCCCAGAGAACCTGAGCTGGCCTACAGGCAATGGGGATAGAGAGTGTTCTGGTGGTTGGATCTCAGAGCTTGCATGGCTCATTTTGCTCTGGATTGCACCCCAAGTACTCTGGCCTTGCAGAAGAGCTGGGGAGGGGGCTGATACCCACTCCATCTCATAGCTACAAACGGTGGCTCAAGTCTCCAAGGAGACAGGTAGGTCTGTGCTGCACAGGCTTATGTCAGCCCACCTTCTGCTCCACTGCTGCTGCAATGCTTTGCTAGGAAGCAGTCACACCTTAAGCTACGGCAGCAGTTTGCTGAGAGACCACGGATACCTTATCTTTCCCTGTCTGCTAAGTTCTCTAGCAACTTGTATAACCCTCAGCTTTCTGCAGGGTCCTTTCAGGCACCCATAAGGAGGGGAGAAGGAAAAGGGTTATCAGGCACGCTCTCTCGTGTATTTACCTGGGGCTCATACTTTTCTACTGTGGCTAAGTGGGATGAGCTGTCATATCCCCCAACGGCATAGAGGTTTCCTTCTGCAAAGACAGTCACACACACAGAGGAGTTAGCTAAAGAGCAGGTCCCAGCCCCAGCACAGCCCCCCACAACTCTTGCACAGGGTGCCCATACAGGTGTCAGCTGAGTCACGGTGCCTCCCGCTCCCCGGGCGGCCAAGCTCCTCTCAGCAGGGCTCCCCCAGCTCCCTCTCTCCCCTTGCGGCACGCAGCATTGTGAAATATTCATCGGGCAATTTCTCTGCCGCGCTGCAAGCTTCCCAAAGAGCTCGCTTGCCTGCCGCTTCTTGACCTCCTCATTATGGGAGCTACAAGTGCTCCCTGCCAGAGCAAGGGGTTATTTTTAGCAGTGGAGGCTGGAGCAGGGGAAAGCCAATAAAGGCTGTGGCAGGCAGAGAGTATGAGCCGGTGATGGAGGGGAGGGAACCTCTGAGTCAGCACCGAGAGCTGAAACCAGAGAATAGGGCAGGGGAGAGGCAGCACAGGGACACCGGGACACCCCATGGGAGTTCCTGGGACAGTGGGGAGCATCATCCTACTCTGGCAACCCCAGGGAGGTCCAGCACCTGCTAGGGTGGAGCAGCGTACTTACATTAACCCCATAGCTGTGCTAAACAACAAAGCGGCCAGTTCTCACACTGCATCCTCCTTAAGGATAGAACTCATTCAGTGGAGTCAGGAGACATCACAGCATTGCACCTAACGTTGTGACACCCTGGTAGAGACAGTTTTGACCTTGCACTACTTCTTGGATCACCAGTAAAAGGACTGTCCTGCTTTCATAATGAAGAAGTAATGAGGTTGTCTCTTCCTTTCTAAGGATCAGTGATTATCCACGGCCAGCCCTCTTGCTCCAAAGTAGAAGGGGCACAAAGGAGCTGAGGAACAAGCTGTGGGTCTCCTCAGGAGTTGCCTCCAGAATGTGATGAAACCAAATTACTAGGGAGACTGAGGAGGAGGGAAGAGGCAGGGAGCATGTCAGGACAGGGCAGAGGAATGGCTGGGCTACCCGGACTCAGAGTGATGGAATCTAGGAAGAACAGGCAGGAACTAGAACAGAAGGACATCAAAAGAAATGACCAGCAATGTAAGAGAGAGTTTGCAAAGAAGTCAGTCGGGTCCTCACGCCATCACCCACCTAGTGTTGCCACCCGGACGTAGCGTCTCCTGGTGCTCATGGCAGCGATGGACGTCCAGGTGCCTGTCAGAGGGTCGTACCGCTCTGCGCTGCAGCGGGCAGGGACACAGGAACATAAGGTGTGACACTGGCAAAGCCCAGGTCAAAGCTCTTTGACACAGGCCCTCAGGGGCAGCTCCCAAGGAAGCTCGGGAATAGACAGGGAAAATGGAGGGAAGAACTGACAAAGGCTGTGTTTTGTTGTGGCAGAGGGCTACAAAACGGTTTTTCCCCTGAAGAAACTTTGCCTGGGCCAAAGACACTGGAAGACATAGCTGGATTGCAAGACACCTACTCTGGGGCCAGCTCGTCTGTCAGGAGCAGGCCTTGGGGGCTCTCCAGGCACCCAGCGCCAAGGACTGTGCATGCAAGGGCAGTGAAGGAGCCTGTAGCAAGGCAATCCCCTACCTGTTCAGGCACGAGGCCCCATCGTACCCCCCAGCAGCATAGAGAAGCCCATGAAGTGCTGCTACACCCAGGCAGCTCCTCCTGGTGCCCATGGACACCTCAGGTTGCCAGGAATTGGTGACAGGATCATAGGACTCCACTGTGGCCAAATCAGACGTCCCATCATAGCTGAAGGGAGGAAAAAAAAAAAAAACCTCTCTTCCCCCCACCCCCCGCCCAGCTTTCTCAAGGCAAAGTTCACCAAAGCACCTGCTGAAAGTGCAGAGCCCTTAGCTGAGCTCTCCCGGGGGTCTGCAAAGAAAGCAGGGCTCAGGGGGCCCCGCACAGTGGGGCACAGTTGGGCTGGGGAGTTAGCTGGCTCTTAGCCTGCAGCACAGGGAGGAAACCGCACGAGTCTGGGACGTAGCCACCGCCAAACCGAGAGCGAACAAGCTCACTGCTCCGAACTGCAGGGCCAGGGAAGTAGTCACTCCTGCAGTCAAGTAGCCCAGAGGTACCGGATTGCTTCATCCAGAGGCCGGCCCTGGGAGGCTCTGCTGGCCACCTCTGCTCCCCACCGCTGGCTCCATCCCTGCCAGCCCCCCCGCGCGGGGCTGCCATGCCCTCCTTACCCGCCCACGGCATACAGCTTGTTCCCGATGGCAGCGACGCCCACTCTCGCCCTGCGAGTCGACATGGAAGCCACCATGTGCCACCGGTCCGTCCGCGTGTCGTAGGCCTCGCAGTCCCCATGGATGGCGAACAGGCTCCCCCCACCTGCGCACGGGACGGCAAACGGAGCAAACGACAGCCCAAAGGGCCTGGGAAGGGGTTTGCGGGGACGTGAGCGCGTGGCAGGGCCTTACCCACGGCAAAGAGCACGGTGCTGGCCCCCTCGCAGCGCCGCGGCCTCGTCCTGCTGTTGCTAAGGACCCCTCGCTGCTCCGGCATGAGGTGGTACTTGAGGGCTTCGATCAGCAGGTCCTTGCACTCCGAGTGATGCCGCACCAGCAGCTCCGTGTCCACGTTGCTCATGAGGAAGTCCCGGCTCAGCAGGGGAAGCCGCACGCACTTCATAAGCTGAGGGGGAGAGGAGTCGGCAGGGTGGGAAGGGTTCACCCCCGTGCTGCCCCCACGTCTCCCCTACAAACCCTGGGGGCCCTGGCAAAGCTGACTCCAGCCGGAGATGTCATCCTGCTCGCTTGGCAGAATAGGCAGCCGGTGACAAAGGGCACCAAAGCACATTCAGCCTTAATGTCTCTGCAGAGCCAGGAGCCCTCAGCCTGGCCATGACACGTCCCCCAGCCACCCCAGATCCCCACCCTGCCCCTCTGCCAGTAACCACAGCCTCTTCCAGCACTCATGCTACAAGTAACAACCCTCGCTGTGGGGCTGCAGAGCCCAGACACCACTCTCCTCCGCCCAGCACGCCCCACGTCGCCTGCATTGCGCACAGGAGGGATGTTTGAGTGCACACAACCAGCAAAGGTGGAGACAGAACTTCTCCAGCGTCAAGTCCTGGGGTAGGTGGAAACCCAGGGGAAACCCTGAGGCAGAGTCTTCCTCACCCTACCCCATTTCAGCCCCAGCCTTCAGGAGGACACCTAGGGATGCTTCCTCCCACCTCTCCCACCCTGGAAGCACGAGAGCAGCGAGATGACAGGATGCCAGGGCTGCCGGAGGCACCGACAGCCTCTGCTGCAGTGCAAGGCTGCATCCGTGAGAGGGTGCCCACGCTGTGCCAAGCACTGGCAGCCCCGCAGGAAAGCGCTTAACCAAGTCTTCTCCAGTTGCACTTTTGGCATGCAGGAGGCTCACAGATCCGTGCCTCCAGGTGCAGGTGCAGAAAGACAACAGCGTGAGTTAAAAGAAGTCCCCGCTCAAATCTGCGTGAGCTTTCTGTTTGAGGATGCACAGGAAAGCTCAGGAAGGCTGCAGGGCAGGGCTGACCTCTCCTGCTGCCCACATCCCCCCCAGGGCTCTGCGTGCCCAAGCTGCCAGGGGTCAGACAAGGCATCCCCCTCGGATTTGTCAATAGTTTGGACTTCACTCCGGAAAAATGAACTTTCTCAGCAACACCCTCATCTATGCCTGGACTGGAAGTGGTATGAGGACCTGCTGTCCCTGCCCTCTGGCCACCCTGCAGCTGTGTATCCACCTGGACCAGGCACTCAAGAGCTGGTGGGTAGAACCAGGTCACCTTCCCCAGCAGACTCACCCTGGGGACATGCTGTCTTCTGCTGTCCACATCATGTTTGACCCAGCTGAGCACAGCCCGGTACACCTCCTCCTCTGATGGCACATTGAGGCTGTCACTAGAAATGAGGTCCAGCACCTGCAGAGCGGGGTGGAAAGGGCGAGTGTCAGCCGGCACGATTTGGGGGGAAAGGACAAACTCACACACCCAGGTAACTGGCCCAGCAGAACAGCACGGCCAGAGGCAGAGCCCCGGCCTCCTGTAGATGCTGGCCTTTGAGGGGTGTACAGCCAGTCTCTCTCACTGGACACAGAAGGATCCAAAGAGCAACTGGGTCTCCCAAACCAGGCAGGTGCAGCTGCGCCTCTCCTCTCCTTGCAGCACTGTGCTCTGCACAAACAGCTCTGCCCTCGATCACCCTCCTTTGGCTCATTGCCCCCCTTCTGTGCCTGAAGCTGCTGCAATGCCTGACACTTCCAATCACCATCAGTGAGCTCAGGCAGCCCACTCTGCTTGCACTTGTCCCTTCAATATTTCATGGGACACCGTCGGGTGCTTTGGCTGTCCCCAGCACACTCACTTCACCTGTCAAGGACTACAGAGCTGGAGCAGATGGAGAAACGGACCCTCCTCTCGCTGCCACGCACCCCACTTCCCCGAGAATGGATGAAGGGAGGTGTCTGTATCCTGATGAGGGACCATACAGGGTGGGGTGATGCAGAGCAAGGACTGGGAATGCCTGCTGGCCAGGGCATCACACAGCACCCCGCAGACAGTGATAAGCCAGGGGCCATACTGGCACCACACGAAGAGCAGCAGGAAACAAGAGCTGAGCTCTGAATTAAACATCACAGCGACACGACCAGGGCAGCCAGGACTTACTCCTTGGACTGTGCCCCCAGAGAAAGAGCAGTGTGCTCAGTGTGCTCCCCTCCCATCCCTATTTCACATGGGGTTAAGCTCTCTGACAGCACTCTTGCCACGTATCGTCTCTCCACTGAACAGAAAGAACCAAAGCACAGAATCTGGGTACGTTCCCCTGGCAAACTGTCCCCTCAGCGCAGGTTCCTTGGGCTTCTGACACACAGACTCTGCCTTCCAGGACAGAGCATGAAAAGCCTTGCATTACCCCTACCTTCATACTCCCATCAGGACCTCACCTGTTTAAGAGGCAGCAACATGAACTCCTCCGTCTTGGACACCTCCACAAAGTGTTGGAGGACATACTTGTGCGCAGACTTGAGGAGGTCGCTGCAGGAGTGCGTGTCAGCAAAACCCCGGATCCCCAGGCAGTTGGATGGGTCGAGCTGGCTGAGGAGGAACTTGCAGCAAGCATCCCGCACACCATTGAGCTGAAGCAGGCTGGCAGCAGGAAGAAGTGTCTGGCAGTGGAAAAGAATGGGGGAAAAGAGAGTTTCCAGGGCAAGGAAACCATTTTCACCCTCATCTCACTGCAAGTCAATAGCAGAACAGGCTGACTGACCACCTTCAGGCACACAAGCACATAAAGGACAAAGCATTCTTTGTTTCCAACAGGACTAAGCTAAAGAACAGCAGAGAAGGACACCTGTAACTCCCCACAGGGCCAGGAAATGGCAGGAGAATGGCAGATGCTCAGGACTAGGCCTGGCCATTGCGTAGTACTTTGAGGAGCCATTCTCAGCCACAGAAGTCACAGGAACCACATCTCTGGGCACAGGGGAGCAGATGGACTCCCTGACCACTGCTAGATGCAGGTGCCACCACAGAACAACAGTTTGTAGTGTTGAGCAGAAGGAGAGAAGAGTCCCCAGAAGGCAAGTCTCGTACAGAATGACTTTGTGGAGAAGAGAGGTTTGGGGGGAAGTTCCTACCTGCACATTCCCCTCGCCCACCACAATCTCAGCCGTGTAAGCGTATTGCACCAGCTGCTCCAGGGCCTGGGGGTCAATGTCGTGCAGCGTCACATGGGTCTGGCGGCTCTCACTCATCTCATCTGGGGCGACACAGATACTAGACATGAACAAAGTCCCGCAGCAGGATTGTTTCCCCCGCAGGAAGACTGGATCATGCGTGGAACAAGCAGCATCCACATCGACAGCCCAGCATCACAGCCCAGGAAGGTCTCCTGCCCACCTCTTAGCAAGGAGGAGCAGCAGTATATTCTAGGGAATGGGGTCCACCTCTGCAGGATGGGCATCAAGATACCTGTGCAGGGATCTACAGGCAAAGGGCTTCATGGAAGGCAGTCAAATGAGGAATATTACTTCAACTTGCTCACAGAGATGATATACAGGCACCATATCTCCACAGGCAGTGAGAACAGGGAGGAGGACAGAAAGGGAAGGGGTTTGCAGAGAGGAGAGGGTTTGAAAAGCAGGGAGACCCTGGTCATGGGGAAGAGAGGACACTACTTGCTTGTGAACATGGCGTGGAAGTACGGGCTGCACGACGCCAGCACCACCTTGTGGGCCTTGATCTCCTTGGTGCCCACATGGAGCACGATGTCGCAGAGCAGCCCCCGCTGGCGCATGCGGTTCATGCACACGAAGGCATCGTGATAGTGTCGCTTGGAGTTGTGGGAGATGCTGTGGCCGTCGCGGTTGAGGAGCTGCACACCCCCTTCCATGGCTGCAGGTGGTAGACGGTGGGCTTTCCCTTCTCACTGGCACTGACGTGGGGGAAAACAAAACATTACCCAGGCAGGAATAGCTCTAGCCCCAGACCATTCCCATGGTCCCCAAGTATGCCCAACGCTGCTCAAAGACCCCGAGCCGGAACAGCTCCCATCTAACCAAGCCCTGCCAGGGAAACATCACCCTGCTCATAAACCAGCGATGGGGAAGAGACAGTCCTCGGAGGAACACAAATACTACAAAGAGATGCTGAGACACTGCTCTGCGACACTCACTGCTCCCCAGCTGTGTTCATCTTTGGATCGATATCCTCCTTACCTGTCTTCAGAAGGGTACTGCTCTACAACATAGGCACTCACACTGGTTTTCCCTGAAGCTGCACCATCTGCCTAACGAGGTGCATTTCCACGCAATATCAGCAGAAGCATCGATCTTAGAAGTCTCACCAGGGCATGCCAGTCCTGCATTGATCAAACACAGCCTAAATAGACCACTAGAGACAGGAAACATGACAATCCTGATTAGCCTAACAAAAATAACCAGGGGATCCCATATCCTAACAGGCAAGATGGATCTTATGGACCACAGCTCTTCGAGTGGTGGCTGTTCCCTTCCAGTTTCCAGAAGATGCTTGGAGATTTGTAATGAACGTACCTGCCTTCAAAAGTTAAGCTCAGAGAGCTGCTGTCTTTCCCGTGCTCACACAATTCAGGAGGATAAGGCAGAAGGCAAAGGTGATTGCAGCACAGAGCCCTGCAGCCCCAGTGCAGAATCCTACAGACCAGGGGTTTGACTCTTCCTGCCATTTTATATTTCAGGCCTCTTTTCGGAGAGAGGCTGAGGATTCCCAGGTGGTCAGTTATGGAACAGAAAACACACACCTTAACGTCGTGATCTTCGCTTCCCTCCAGCGTCCTCTACCCAGGCGTGTTCAACCTCACCACAGCCTCAAGGCTACACCAAACAGTCCTGCTCCAGCACCGCAGACTCCTGTTCTGCGCCAGCCTAGTAGGCAGTTTGGGCAAAGCAGAGCTCCTAGATTCCCTGGAAGCAGCCCCGGCTGAGACTCTGGCTGTCCTTCAAGAGGTAACTTGGAACATCGGGTAGTTTTGGCTTGACAAGGCTGACAGGAGGGACAGACAGCAAAGACCAGAGATGCTGATCAGGTGGCTGGGACCTGATGCAGAACTCGGTCTGTGCACACACGTACACACCACTGAGCATGGAGCGAGTGTCCTTCCACACAATCTGGGACAGCCCAGGCAGGGAGCAGGAGAAGAAACTCGATCGCTTGTAGAAAACAAAAATTGCCTAATCAAAGAATAAGGGCATATATTTGTGCAAAGATGTTTTCTCTCTCCGTGCTGTCTGCATCTAGGCTGATCATGGTGTTTCGAAAGGCTCTTGACTGTCTCCCTGTCAGCAGCACCCGAAGGTGGGGGAGTGAAGAGAGGATGACTGAGCAGCAGGAGGAAAAAAGGGGGAGGGAGCAGGAGAAAAAAGGCAGCTTGAAGAAAAAAAAGCCCGTGTGCTGCACTCGTGCGCCTGCCCCCGCATCCCTGCGGCGAGAGAATCCCCTCAGCCTCTGTGCTCCTCACGACACCTACACGTCGCCAGCCGTGCTGAGCCTAAAAATAGAAACCCACCATGCTGTGCCTGCTCAGCCACAAATGCAGCCATCTATTCGTTTTTAAATAGCAATTGTATCGTGTACCAGAGTCCGGGGGAGGAAAAAAGATGAATAAACATCTTTCCTGAGCAGGAGAGAAGCCTGCAATGCCCTCTTCTATTTGCATCATCCTGCGTGATATGAGATTCCTCATTTCAGTCAGCAGGGAAGACTCACGGGCACACAACAAAGGCAACGCCTGTTGATGCTTTCCAGTAACGAAAGTAGGATGCCACTGTGCCCTTGACAGAAAAGAAGAGCCCATGAGTTAACTGGCCTTCTCCCCCCACACCCCTCAGCTAAGCTTTTCAGCGACATCCCTAGGACACCTTTGATGTGTTAATTCACATGTGTGGACATTGCTGGATGAGAGGTGCCTGCAGGAAGGCGGTTTATAATCATTAGCATCTCTACCTGGGCTCAAGAGCTCCTTTCCCACACCTGGTGTAACGGCAGAGAGCAGACGGTGCTCTCTCACCTTTACTACCCCCCCTAGCTGCAAGCCTGAGGGTTTTCCTGATCTGCTTGAGCTGCTTTATCTTTTTAATACGCTGCTGGGCATACTTCTCCCCATCAGTATTTAAGTCATGCCTCAGCAATAATCGAGAGCACTTGCCTTGCCCCTCCTGGGTGCCGGTAGCATGGGATAGGAGCTCCCAGCTCTGCAGCAGTGGGAAGACCCAAGGGGGACACTGCAGGACAGGAAAAGATGGGACTGCTTCTCCTTGTGCTGTCCTTGTGGGGAAAGGTTTGCCACGCTGGCCAGGCAGGGGGTAGCACCGGCAGTCAGGGGAGAGACAC